CAAAGTGGCAACGTGTATCGAAGTAGTTTATTTGGTATAAATTAAAACACAGACATTAAAAAGAAACAACGATAATTTTTAAAATTCTAACTTTTTCGAAGTCAGTAAAGTATAGGGAGACAGAATGTCTTTGAGAAATTGAGTTCAGACATCCGTTGACAATATGAATACCTCCTTCCGGGTGGATTTCATTACAATGAAGTTAAAAAAGGAGAAATCTTAGCAGGGGACTATGGGTTGAGAATGCCCTTAAAGTTAACGTTTTAGATGATACATGACATATTAAAATGAGAAAGTCGTTCTGAGGTTCACCCTCTGAAATAAAGAAATACCGAAAAACTAATCAACGAAGGATGAAATGTTTTAGATCAGCATAATGACGCATATCTGTATTTTCATAAATTAAACTGAAATTCGGTTTTTTCAAGTCCATAATATATAAATTATAGTATATTTTAGAAAGCAGAGGGCAAGATAAACTAAGTCCATTGTATTCTATTCCATTTTAGTCTGAGTCCAATTTCGAACTTTTCTGTACACCACAGGAGAGGAGAAACAGCATTTATTGTTTGTTTAAATTCGAGTTATTAACAACCTGACGTTTTGGTAGCGTTATCCTCAGTTCACTGTCTTAAAAAGACATTTTACTTGATGTTGATACTTAGACTACTACTGCATTATATTTTGGTAGTTCTTTTACGATCTGTATTACGCTAATGTCAAAAAGGTAAACAAACGTGGTTTGAGAGATTGTTCTCACAGCCACTAAACGGACTGAACTGACGAAATAATAATTTAAAAAAAAATTATAATCGGAAGAATATACGCATACAGTAAATGTACTATGATTTATTTAGGACACCCGACTATCGATGGGACCCAAATGCGAGCATTGGTAATCATGTTTATAAATCAACAAAATGAATTTTTGAAAACTTGTCAGTATATCACTCAGTGAGATGCAAATCTACCGATTGCATAATATCTGACAGCTGTTAATGGATTTTTCAGGCCAGTAAACAACTAGGTCAGAGGCCAAAATGTTTGCAAGCTTCAGGGGAATAATAAGATATGACTTGCTTGCCATAAACCCATGCAAGGATGTGAGTGAAAGTAAATGTTTGTGAGTATTTACGCGGAAGCTGAGAATGTTTCTGAGTGTTCTCAGAGGGTTTGCTGGGGTAATAATAGTTGTAAAGCGCATAGAGCAAGCTCTTGAGCATGGATATGCGCTATATAAATGCAATTATTATTATAAATTATAATTATTATAAATTATTATAATTATGTGTGTCTGTTTGTGTTTGTTTATGCGGAGAGAGAGGAGAGAAGAAGACAGAGAGA